CCAGGATGATGTGGGCTAGAAAATATCACTGCATCTCCAGCATCAAGCCAAGGATATAATTCACAAATCTCTTTAGCCCATTTTTAATTATGCCTCACCTGCAATAATGAATTGCTAACAAATATTTTGAGCAAACATGGACTTTTTTTTTGAAGTTTCTCGGTGCTGATGCTCCCGGCAGGTGCTGCCAGCACTGATGCTTTGATGGTCTGTTCCAGCACCCACCTGATGTCCTCGAGCTTGTAATGACTGCAGGGGCTGGGGATTTAGCAAATTGCTTTTTTTTTTTGCCTTTCCTGAGCGGGATGTTGGAACAAGTGGGCTGGCTGCTCCCACTCTCCGCCGGAGTGATTATATTAGCGTGGCCTGGGTAGGAGTGGCGGAAATTACAATGAAATACTAGAGGTAGGAAATAAAAATATAATTAAAAAATAACGACGGATGTGTGTCATCTTCCAAAGCCTGATCGTGACCAGCCTGGCTGTGGGGCAGCCGTGGTGGGGGCTTACACACTTCAGCCCGTTGGCGCAGCCTCGATGGAGCTGTGCTCAGGGAATAACGCTGGGAAGAGAGAGCAGGTGGGGGGAGGCAAAGGGCTGTGAAACTTAAGAGGGGGGGAATATGTGAGTGGATTGGGGTTTAAAAGCCCTCTTGGCCCCTCAGGACTTGCTCCCCTGAAGTGTGAGTTGGGGGGCTCCCCTGAAAATGGGGCAATTCCCCTTTTCTCCCTTCCCGAGCAAAGCTGGGACTGGCTGGAGCCCACGTGGTTTCACTGCTTGGGGGGGTGCTGGGGGCAGCTGTGGCACAGTCACGTGCAGTGGTTTGGGCGTCGCTGTGGTGGTCTGTGTGCATTGCTCCGGCACCTCTGGGATGGCACCACTGAGAGGGGATGGCCACTGGCCTGGAGCCTGGCTCTGCCACCGACCTGCTGGGTGGCCCTGGCCATGTCCCTTATCCTCTCTGAACCTGTCTGTCTCCTCGAGGCTCTTCTCAGCTCTCCGGGGGCTCGGTGCCAGCCCAGCCCCGGCTGTGTGAGGGAGGTACCTGCCTTCAGGTGCTTCAATAATAGAAATCATTAATTTTCACTGCTAATGGAAGAAATGCTGCTCTGTGAAAAATGTGCGTTGGCTTGGAGGCAATTCAAAAGGCTGGTGGAGACGGGAGCCCCTAATTTGTTCCAAATTGGTTATTTCACTGGAATGGTGAGAAAGCATCAATCTGAGGAGCTTTTCTCCCTTTTCATTTCTGTCAGCCGCTCCTTGGCTGTAATGAATTGGACTTGGCTGTAATTTGTACGATTTATACAGTGCCCAGAATAAAGACTAAACTGATCCATGGCTCTGGTGCCCCCCTGAGCTCTCAGTCTCTTGAGAAGACCCTGACCTCTCCCAAACTACCCGGGGAGGGATGGGCAGGGCTGTGGGCAGTGGATGCCAGATCAGGGTTCAGTGTTTGCCACCTCCTTTTCACTGCCCCTGGGTCAGGATGAGCCCAGATCCCTCCCGAGCCCCTTGGTACCTGTGCAGAGGTGGTTGAAGTTGCTGCTGGGGGAGGCATCACTAAATGCTGATTTTTCAGATCATTACCTGGCAGATAGGGAAAGCTGGGAATTAAAATCCAAAGGCAGTTGGACTCGATGTTTGTGGAGAGGGGGAGGAAAAGAGGCTTGATAGAGCAAGACCCACGTCCAGTTTTGCTCCTCAGCAGCTGTTTTTGACCTTGGTGGTGTGGGGTGATTCTCCCTGTGGCTCTCGGGGAGCAGGATGCAGTCGAGTTGCCTCCCAAGGACCAGGTGCATGGACTGGAGGGAGCCCAGAGAGGGAGATCACCCTGTCCCTGCTTCTGCTCCTCGACAAAAGGGCTTTGCCCTTCTCAGCTGCTGCTCTGAGGAGCCTCAGCCCAGAGCTGGGGTCGCCTGCGGGGAGAGATGAGCATGACCCCCCCTCCCCAGCCCAGTAATCCTGTTGTGTCCATGTCCAGAGTTTGCAGGGATGTCATTCGAGTTTATTTCAAGGCTTGTTCCCTGCCAGCTGCAGTCACGCAGCTGAAGGTTGTGACAAGGCTGTGCAGGGGAAGGAGGCACGAGGCAGCATCCTGCAAGCTGACGGTGGCTGGGAGATGTGGGGGGTTCCCATGTCAGCAGCTCAGGGGGCTTCTTCTTCAGCAGCACCCATGGCCCACTACCCACCCAGGCTCCTCCACAAGGACCTGAGTGTGCTGGAGCCAGGCCCTCTGTGCCCACAGCAGTGCTGGAAGGGCCCCCCTGGCAGAGGAGGAACAGCCCCCCCCAAGCACCCCGAGTTGTGTGGGAGAGCTGGGACACAGCAGGGAAATACTGGGGTCCTCCAGCATGTGCCCCATCCCCTTCCCTGCGTGGGAGCACCTTCTCTTTCCCATGTCCCTCCAGTCTCTGCAGATCGCACAGGAGCTGTCCTTGTCAGATCCGCCTGTCCAGGCACCAGCCCGGGGGCTGCAGGAGTATTTTTAATTTGGCTGAGCTGACACGGTGCCGGGTGCTCTCTCCCACACGAGACAGCGGCTCCTCTCTGCCTCCCCCCTCCGCCACACACGGCAGAGATTGAACTGAGCTGTCACCACCTTCGGGTGCGAGGGATGCGGCCGGGCAGCTCCTGTGAGTCCTCCCTCCCATGCATCCTCCCAGATCATTCTGGGGGCTGTCACAGCCAGGGGTTTGGGTGCAGAGGGGGAGCAGGGTCCTGCAGGGTGCTGCCCCATCCTCTGTGATGGCTGGGGATGGGGGCTGGTGGAGCCAGGCACTGCGGGGTGGGTGGGCAGGAGAACCGGGGGCTGTGCGGGGATGGGGCTCCCTGGGGTCAGCAGCTTCAGGAACACCAGAACCTCTGCTTCCCTGCGGGAAGAGTGTGCGTCATCCCCCAGAGCCTGACTGGCTTAGAGCAGGAATGGAAACAAAATCTCATAAATATCTTTGGACGCAGGGATTTAAAATCTTTTGGGGTAGTATGGCAGCATTTGGTCTCTTCTGTTCAGCTCCTTACAGATGTAATGAGAAACCCTTGGGAAACCCAGTCATGGATGTGGGGCTGGAGTGCTGGCAGGAGTGTCAGGAACTGGCCTGGAGCATCCCAGTGGGAGCAATGTGCTTGGGGTCTGCTCCAGCCACCAGACAGGTGGGACTCCAATGGAAAACGGGGCTCAGATGGAAACTGTGGCTCATGGCCATGGCCGCCCTCGTGTTGTGCAGATGATGGATGTGCTGGTGCAATGGGGCACCTGCCTGCCCAGCTCCCAGGCACAGCACGGAAAAATAGCAGTGATTCGCTCGGGCCAAGGCGGCTGCTGCTGCACGGGGGTAAACAGGAGTATCTGCACTTCAGTTCCTTTAGGAAGGACATCTGATATCTGGCAGGGATGCGAGGGCAGGGTGCTCGGCAGGGTCAGGGACGTCCTGCAAACACTGCCCAAAACCCATGTTAAAGCTGGAGGCTTCCAGCAGAAATGGGCATGCTGGGCAGAAGGGATCAGTGAGTTCAGCCATGCTGCTGGCACAGAGCAGGCAGAGGGTGTTCCCGACTGGAATCCACCGGTCCTGCTGGTGGATCCCAGTGCAGGGGCTTGATGGGGTCCCCATGGGAAGCGGGATTGGCCCCAGCCACTGTTCACTTGGGACTGCTGACCTTTGCAGTCCCGCTCTGAATGCTGGGAACCAGGGGATGCAGTAGGCTCCTGCCTAAAAACTCATTAAAAAGGCTCAATCCTCTTTTCTCGAGGCATCAGCACAAGAATAAATCGGGCATGTTTTCACCCTGAGAGCCAGCTTTGGTTTCACTAGCTCCTGCTCTCATTAACCCTGGGCTAAGGTGGCCAGGCAGGAATGTCCCCAGAGCAGGAAGAGCCTCTTGCCCGGGGATATGTGGAGGAGCCTGAAGAGAGGAATTCACCGGAGGCTGCCAGACCCCCCTGCTGTGGAGCCAGCCAGAGCCAGGTACAATGCAGCCCCTAATCCAGGCACATTCCGGTGGGCCACATCCCTCCTCATACCCTGACTCTGCAGGGGGAGTCGGGGTGGGAGCATCCTTCAGCTCCCAGGCACAGGGGCTGTGCTGGGGAACAAGGAGCGGAGTTCCTGTCAGGGGTCCTGCAGGACACTGGTGTCCTGCAGGATCGTTTGGGGGAAAGCAAAGGTGGCACAAAACCCTGTTTCTGGAAGAAGCTGAGGGGCTCTAAACCTCACCTGCATTTAGTTCTAAAAGAAAGTTTTTGGGGGACGAGAGGAGCCCCTGTGCTCACTGGGGAGCCCCGAGATGAGGGGGTGGGTTTCAGACCCAGCCCTGCAGCTATGGACCAGGAGCACGGGTAAACAGGAACACGTTGTGCTGTTGGACCTGCATCCTGCCGAATCTCCGTGCCTGGGGGTCGCTCTGCCCGTGCGCGGGGCACTCGCATCCTGGCTCTGCCCAAACCCGGGGACACCGCTCCTGGCTGGACGCAAACGTGGGGATCCCCGGGGGAGTTCCTGGGCGCTCAGTGCCCACCTCTCCTCGCACCTTGGGCAAAAAGGCGTGCGGGCAGGTGAGCCCGCGGCGGGCACCGGGCGCAGCTCCGTGCGCTCCCCATCCCCAGGGGGGGCCAGAGCCCGTGGCGCGGCTGCTGCGTCCGCTGTCCCGGCGGCCCAGCCGCGGCCACGCGGCCTTCCCGGTGCTGGCCACCGCTAGTGGCCACTGCCGCCGTGGGCTGCCGGGAGCATCCGCGAGCCCGGCGGTCCTCGCAGCAAGATGGCTGCTCCCGTGCTCCCGTGAGCCGGCGCCCGCCGCAGGCTTTGTTCCCGCAGCCGCCGCGCTCGGGGGGTGCGGGATGCGGAGTGCGGGGTGCTGCTGCCTCCTGAGCACCTCGCTTCGTTTCGTTTTATTTTTGGCTTGGCGTTGCTGCTTGGCTGGGTTTTTTTTTTTTTTTTTTTTTTTTTTTTTTTTAAAGTAGGGGTTTTTTTTTAGTAGATTTTTTTTTTCCTATTTAAAAAAACAAAATCTGGGAAGTTTGCAAGCCCCCCTCCCCCCGCCGCCCCAAAGCTTATGGCGGCCTTTCCATGGTACGTATATGTAGGGGTGGGTGAGCGGGGTGGGCACGCTGGGCTGGGCTGGGCGCTGGGGCTGCCCCGCTCACCCGCAGCCGGGGCTGATGCACCGGTGACGGGGCTCGGGGCAGCAGCTTGTCCTCTCACAAGTGAATCCTGATCCTGCCCAAACTTCCCGACCGGGGGAGAAGCAGGCTGGTGTGGGGACTGGAGTGTCACCCCCATCTCGAGCTGCTGCCGCCGAGTCCTCCAGGATGTGCTGCTCTTCCCCGTGGGCAACAGCAGCAGTGAGGGGTGCTGGGCTGGTGCCAGGACTGGTTCTGGAACACCACGGGTCATTCGGGAAGGGGTGCTGTGGTGCTCTGCTCCATCCCGAGTTCCCTCTGACCCCATGCTCCCTACACACTAATTGCTGCTTTTTTTTTTTCTTTCCAAGGCAGCAGTTTTTGCTGGAGCGAGTGCTGGAGGGCGGGCTGTGCTGGATGGGGTGGGAGTGAATGGGGTCAATGACAGGGAGAGATCAGAGGAATCCACTCCCTGGGGCCGTGCACTGTCCCATTGCAGCTGGAGGAGCTGGGTGCCCTGCTGGCACTGGGATGGGGCTGCTGTGCCAGGCAGCTGCAGTGCTGGTCACTCCAGGACCACCTGCCAGCATTGCCCAGGGCACCCCATGGGAAGCCCGGCATCTATGGGAGTGGGCACTCACAGCACTGGGAGTTTGGGGTGTTACTCTAATGCCTAAATTGTGAGGGTTCCCCCTGCTCCCCAAGGGCTGTGGTAATGGCTTCGGTTTGGGATGTTTGTTCTTCAGAAAAACCCCCAAGTTCCTCTTGGGTTTCTCAGCAAGTCACATGGACTGATGGTATTTCCCGGCTTTGCTGCTGCTGAGTGTCCATGTTCTTTCCATTTTTCTCTGCATTTTGGTTCTGTCCCTTCCTCACCATGTGCTATGTTCTTGCTCTTCCTCTTCCCATCACCTTTATCAAGGCTCAGTTTGGATTTTCAATCCAGTTCATGGAGGAATGTGAGAATTGGACTGAGTGGGGCTGAAATGTGGGTAAGGGGTCAAGTGAGTGCTTAAACCCTGCAGCTCCTGGTTTGGTTACGTGAGTAAGTGCTTTGCAGCCTGGAGCTCAGTAGATATTTGGGAGCCTGGGCTGGAGCAGGTTGAGTGTGTCACCCCTTGGGAGGGATGCTGGGCTGGCCCTGACTATGCAGAGCACAGCCCTGCTGCCATGGGACCTGCCACGGCTTCAGCAATTCCCTGGGATAGAGACAAGCCAGGCAGGACTGAGAGCACACACGTGTGCTCACAGGCACTTGTGTCTGAGCTGTCTCCCAGTCACCCTTGTGCTGCTCCAGAGCCCTGGCACTCACTGCCGCTGGCAGGTGCTGCTCCTCTGGGGCTGAATGTTCCTGTTTGGGTGTTTCATCCAGCTCTGAGCCTTCCTCACCTTCCCAGCATCAGTGCAGTGGGAAGGGCTGCTCCCGAGGGAAGTGTATGGGTGTCCCCGTGGTGATGGGACTGTGTGTGCGTGCACCAGTCCCACCAGTGACACCGAGAGCTGCCGGTGATGCCGGCACTCAGTGGGATGCCTCTGCATGGTGCTGGGGCTGTCATATAGCCTGGCCTGCCCTGAGCACCACTGTCACCACCACTGTCACCACACCACCATCGCCATGCCACCACAGCCCTTCGCTGAGCCCTGGCTGAGGTTTGCAGGGCCCTAATCCCTTTCCCTTGTGTCTCTTTCATCTCCAGTCGGACCAGGAGAGTGGTAATAGACCTTCTTACTAAATTAAATGTGCAGGCTGCTCCTCAAGGCACGGCGCGGTTCAACCGTAGTGTTTGATTTCCCAGCCACAGCAGTATGGTGCCTCCAGGGAAAAAGCCAGCTGGGGAAACTTCCAATTCCAATAAAAAGTGTAAACGCTATTTCAATGAGCACTGGAAGGAAGAATTTACCTGGCTGGAGTTTGACTATGAGAGGAAACTCATGTTTTGCATAGAGTGTCGGCAGGCGCTGGTGAAGAACAAGCACGGTAAAGCGGAGAACGCCTTTACCGTGGGCACGGACAACTTCCAGCGCCACGCGCTGCTGCGGCACGTCACCTCCGGCGCGCACCGCCAGGCGCTGGCCGTGAACCGCGAGCAGCTGGCCTTCGAGACCCGGGTCCACGGCCACCCCGAACTGCGCTCGGTCGTCAAGGTGGAGGTGAACCCGGCGAAGGTGGCTGTCCTCACCACCGTCTACTGGATGGCCAAGGAGGAGATCCCGGATGAGAAGTGCTCCTCCCTGCTCAACTTCCAGAAGTTCAACCTGTGCCAGGCGCTGCTGGCCTCGGAGCACAGCGAGCACTACCACCCCGGCAGCGTCAGGGAGATGCAGGTGGGTGTGCGGGGCTGGGGGTCTGCGCCTGTGTGACGGCCAGCAGGGCTGGACAGTGCTGTGCAGCCGCTGCCTTCGGCAGAGCCAGCAGGGTGTCTGTGCCCACCGGCTACGCGGGAGCTCCCTGAGCCTGCCATGCTGCTTGCAGGATGAAAGCTCCGGAGTTCAATTAGCACACGGGCACTGTGGGTTTTTCCTCTTTTGCCCTAAACTGAGTGCTCAGGAAGATCAAGTAGCCAGAGAGTTTAGAAAGGATTTTCTGAGTTTTACGAATGCTTCGTGCCTGCTAAAATCAAATTAAATTTTTAGTGAGTCTTGGCCATTTGCCAGGCTCTTCAGAGCCTTATTTTGCTGCAGATAGACTAAACCCACTAATTAGGTTTCCTAGCCTGTGGTGATCCTTACAGCACTCACACACACACAGGAAGTTTCCCCTCCAAGCGGGGGTGTGTGCCTGAAATGGGGGAAAATGAGCAAAGAAGGAAAAGATGCTGCAGAGTTTTGCTGTTGCTCCTGCCCATGATGGGCCAGTGAAGCACTGATGGAACTGCTGGAGTGAACTGAGCAGGCAGGTTCCCGGTGTCCTGCCTTGTGGCCGGCACAGGCAGTGGCTCAGGAATGGGGTGCTGGGGGCTTGTGTCTTGGTGTGCTGCTGGTGTTGGGTCCTGCTGTAGCTTGTGGGGCTCTGACCCCCAGCTCAGGGCAGGGCCTTCCAAGCTCTCAGCAGCTTCACACGGTGCTCAGGCTGCCAGACAGGGATGGGAGGAGGCAGTTTATTATAAGGAAAAGGAAAGTGATTTCCAGCCTGTGTGTGCAGCTTGCATAAGGGCTTTTCCCTGGCTTGGGCCCTTGTGCTGCTGCAGGAGCCCACGGGTGGGAGCCCGGCCGCTTGCTGTGTGCTGGGTGCTGCGCGTCTCCTGCTGTCTCTGAACCTCATTTGTGTTTCTCTCTCCCTCCCTGTGCCCTTCCTTCAACTGGCTCAGGCAGCCATCGCCAAAGTCCTGCACAACGAGGACAGGCACAGGATCAAAGCCTCGCCGTTTGTGGGGTTGGTGGTGGATGAGACAGTGGATGTCCTGGAGCACCGCAGCCTCGCCATGTTCACCACGACTGTCTCCCCCTGCAACGGGCAGACCTCCACCGCCTTCTTGGGCAGCTTTGAGCTGCCCGCCGGGGAGGCCTCCACCGTGGCGGGCAAGGTGGGTGAGGTGATGCGCTCCTTCGGCATCCCCACCGTGAAGCTCGCCTGGCTCAGTGCCGACAGCACCTCGCTGGTGGCCGAGCGGCTGAATGGGGTGGGGACCGCGCTAACCTCGCTCTGCCCGCTCCTCACCGAGATGCACTGCCTGTCCCACGGCAGCTCCCTGCTGCCGGCTGAGACCATCGGCACCACTGAGTACCTCCAGAAGTACGAGACCACTGTGGATGCTGTGTACAGGCTCTACTCCAGCTTCCGGGGGAAAAGCGATGGCCTGCGGGAGCTGCGGAGCGTTCTGGACCTTTGTGAGATAGACCTCGGGAGCCCCAAAGCCATCCACTGGACTTCTATCTTCCCAGCTGTGGAAGCCGTTGACTCCTCGTGGCCCACACTGGTGCTGCTGCTGGAGAGCGAGGCAGAGCACTCGCCTGTGGCCCGTGGCCTCTGCGAAGAGCTCAAGAAGTTCCAGTTTGTGGCCTTCACCAAGATCCTCCTGGACGTCCTCCCCATCTTCCAGAAGCTCAGTCGCTTCTTCCAGATCGAGGACTTTGACCTTTCCATCCTGAAGCCCATCGTCTCGGCCACGGCCGCCACGCTGCAGGCCCAGCAGAGCACCAGCGGCCAGAACCTCCAGGAGTTCCTCAGCGAGATGAACGAGCACCCGCAGGACGGCCAGGAGGGTGAGAGCCGCCTCTACTACAAGGGTATCGAGCTGGCCAACTGCTCCCAGGTCCACCTGAAGCACTTTGAGCACTTGAAGGAGACCTACCTGGAGAGTGTGCGGGGCAACCTGCTGGACAGGTTCCCCACCAGCGTTCTGGAGGCCATCAGCTCCTTCTCAGCCATTTTCAACCCCAAGTGCTATCCCCAGTCTCTGGAGGACATTGGCAGCTATGGAGTCAGCGAGCTGAATTTCCTGCTGCAGGCGTACTCGCGGGTGGTGGTGAGTGAGAGGGCCCTGAGCGACTTTCCCCTCTTCAAGCGCATCGTCTTCAGCCTCAGCCAGCTCTCCTTCAAGGACCTCTGTGTCAAGCTGGTCTACAGCAGCTCTGAGATGCACGAGCTCTTCCCAGACTTCGCTGTCCTGGCGGCCATCGCCCTGGCCTTGCCCTTGGGCTCGGTCCTCGCCGAGAAGATCAGCCGGGGCCGGGAGCTGCTGAAGCGCAGCCGGTCGCGCCGGACAAAGGACGAGGGGCTCTCTGACCTCATGAAGATCGCCATCGACGGGCCGGCCATCAGTGAGTTTGACTTTGCGTTGGCCATCGAGTACTACGAAAGCATGAGGGAGTCTGGGTTCATCATGACGCAGGTGAAGTGAGTGTGGCCAGTGAGGGCTGAGCCCTCGGGCAGGAGCCGGGGCCTGCAGGCAGCGCCCAGCACCAGCTCAATGCTGCCTTTCCACGTCGCTGGTCACTGTGGGGCTGGGCGGCCGCGGTGGATGGTGACCTGCTCCGTGCTGGGAAGAGGAAACAGGATCCTTCACAAAGCCACGCTGGTCCTATGACCACCCCTCCCTCATCCACCAAGCATCTGGCTGAATTGCCCAGAATTCAAAAGCCTGGGGCCACCTAAGGTCCCAAATTGCAATGATTTTTCTCCAAGGGTTTGTCATAATTTTGTTTTAGGGATAGGAAGGCAAATCTTCTCTTGAGCTCAAATGTCATATTGCCTTTGCACAAAGATACCCAGCAGCTTCTGCTTAATACTCTGCAAAAATAATAGATTTCTGTTGTTCTGGAGCCTCGAGAGCAAATGCAGAAAAGGCAGAACATCCTCCCAGCCCAGAGTCAACCCCGACATGCCTGGCGGTGTCGTGTTGGTGTTCCTTGTGCACAGCACAGAGTATTTTTAGCAGTGGCATCAAGTCATGATCATTTCAAGAGCAAGAGATTTAGGGAATGATATTGTAATGGCCAAGGAAATATAACTTTAAATGCGTCATTGTGTACATATGTGTATGTGTGTATATATATATATAAATATATATATATAAATATATGTATTAAAAAGGTCTAACTTAATTTTCCTAGTGCTTAAAGTTTAAAGATATATAAAGGGACTTTTTTTGCAAGGACAGAATAAATTATGATCGCCGTCCAGAAATCATCAGTAGTGTATTTCTGGTCTTTCCAAAACGTCCGCATGTCCCAGCTTTCCCTTTGCACCCTGAGCTCTCGGCAACCTGCTGCCCAAGAGAAAGTCCTTCAACACCTGCTTTTGAGACCATCCAGAGGTGTTCAGCTTGTATTCCTCCTCTGAAGTGTTACTCTCTTTATCCTGAGGTGAGCAGAGCTGTTGGTGCCCGTGGTGGGCAGGGGCTTGGGCACCTCTGCGCTCGGGTCTGGGGGTGCTGGCGCGGTGGCTGAGTGGGGCTGGGGTGCTGCGTGGTGTGTTCCAGCATGACAGGGCTCTGCTGGTTTTGACTTGGAGGGCTGTTTCCTTCAGATCTGACTGATTCTAATCAGCAATAAACCCAGTGCAGCAGCCCGAAGCATCACCTCAGTTGAATCCTGAGGGCCGAGTTCTCTGCTGGGGTTGTCAAAAGCTGCCCCACCTGCTCCCCCATGGTCTGGTTGCTCTGGGAGTCCAGTGTGTTGCAATGTTTGTTACTGGTCTGGATCCCAGAGGTGCCTGGGCTGCACTGGTGCTGCTGTTGTGGTCCAGTGTTGTGACTGGGTGTTTCTCCTCAATCCCTCAGCCTTTGGCATTGAGGAGCACACGTGTCTCCCAGGAAGCCTCCTGGAAAGAGCTGGAGTGAGTTCAGCCCATGCTTGGTCAGAGGCAGTTTTAAAGCCCTGTGTAAGGATTTGGAGACACCACCAAAATTTGCTGAGAACACCTCCCTAGCGGGAGGGAGCCAGGCTGCCTCTGTGTGAATAAACAGCTCCGTCTCCATCTGGCCTGGGCAGACTCTGCACCAGATGCTCTCTGAGGCAGCAGCGTCTGCAGAGATGGGTCCTTGGCAGACTCATGTTTGTATGAGAACCTGCAGCGTTGGCCCTGCTGCCTTCAGAGGCAGCTCTGGGAGGTTCACACGCATGGGGTGTGAGAGCACAACAGTTGCTCTGCTCTGCCTTGCAGGGACCAGGAGAAAACCTGCTGCAGGTGTGTGTTCAGTGGCTGCGTGGAGTGAAGGGTTGGGGAACAGGCTGGGGACTGTGTCCATGCATGGTCTTGGGGGCTTGGTTAAATGTAAGGCTGAAATACACCTTTAAATTCCAAGAGACCCCTCTGAGAGTCACTTGTCTGCACGACAGGAACCGGGCTGAGCTCCAGACAGAGGATGTGCAGGATCTGATGGCTTTGGCTGAGCCCCGGGCAGAGGATGTGCAGCACCATAGCAGTGACGTTGTGGGCTTTGGCATCTCTTGGTCAGACCTGGATGCTACCTGTGGAACTGGGGGGGGACACAGAGACCCCCTCCACAGGCTGCAGCAGGTGTTTGTGCTGGGAACACGGGGTTCCCACACTCCCCTCCTTGCATCAGCCCCATGGAATGCTCTACAGGGCCCGGAGCACATCCCATCCTGGCAGGACCTGTGGTGCTGAAGCAGTAGCGTTTGTTGTGGCCGTGGGGGCTCCTCTGCCAAAACAGGGGGAGACACAGAGCCGGTGCTGTGGCAGAGGACACCCCACTCCGGAGCTGCAGACTGAGCGTCTGGGGATGCCATTCACCAGCACAGCCCAGCCCACCACTGGCCGTGCTCGTCACCTTGGGTAAGGTCGTGTCATTCTATACAGACCTGGGGCCCTGCCACTCTCCTCAAAGCAAATCCCTGTAATTGAGTGTCTAATTAATACCTAAAAATACCGCCCTCAGCTGCTGCCGGAATCTGCCCTGCAGCGAAGGTAAGGCAGGACCGGCAGTGCCATGGCCCTGTAACCTTGGGAAGGTGCCCCAGGAGCATCACGTGGGTGCCCCAGTGGAGTGCTGTGGCATTCTGGGCAGCTTTGATGGCACTGGGGTGGCTTCAGCCCTTTTCCTGCTCCCGAGGGTCTTGTCTGCTTCAGGGGCAAAGCTGGGGGGAGAGGTCCTGACCCTCCAAGGGGTCTCACTGGGATTTCTGGGCTCTCTCCAACCACCTGGTTTATCCCAGTCCAGAAATATGTTTAATCCACAAATCTGAGCTCCAGGATGTGCCAAAGAGGTTGGTGTACCTTGTCTGTACTGTTGTGGGCAGCAGCTGCTGCGAGTGGTAGCTGTCCCTGGGACTCTGTGTCCCCTCAGCATCCCCCCTGTGCCTGCCCAGTGCAGGAGCTACTCCCCAGGGAGTGAACCCCTTTATGTGGTTACTGATGTTGGGGGAGGAGACAATTGCCTGCCCTCTTGTTCTTCCCAGATATATATATTTACATGTTACATATATTTTATGTTTTTAAGGCCAGTCCAGTCAGTGCAAACCGCTCTGACAGTGGTGATCAGCACCCCTCGTGATCCAGCCCCAAATGCCTTCACTGCTGCTCTCTCATGGGGCCGCTTGTGCTGGGGGGTCCTCAGGCAGCTCCCACGGTGCCGGCTGGGCTGTCTCAGATGATTTGATGCAGAAACACTGTTTCACGCCTCAGAAGGTTAATTATGCACTGCTCACCCAGTCCTGCTCGCTGCTGCTCCCTCCTCATTGCTGCTGCTGCTGTAATGTTATTTATTTATTTTTAAGCAGTTTCACAGATTTCCCTTCTGGGCGACTCTGGAATTAACTCGATCAGTGCACGCCTGATGAAGCAAACTGTAATTCCTCCCCGGAGTCAGGCCCGGCTCGGGGATGGCTCCGGCGCCGTGGCAGAGCCGCCGCGTGCGCTCGCCCAGAAAGAGGTCGTTGGTGCCCGTGGGGCCGGCGGCGAGCGCTCGCTGCTCAAATCCAGGGGATCTCTCGAACTTTGAATTTCAGATTCATGTCTCGGCTCCTGCACCAGCTGGGATTGGCGCAGGGTGGGTGCAGAGCAGAGTAAGGAGCAGCACCAGCCTGGGGTCCTTGTCCTGCACAACCAGTGTAGGGTGTAGGGGGCTGGAGGAGGGCTCAGGCTCAGCGCTCTCACAAAGAGGTGCTGGTGGTGACGGCTCCCAGTCAGTGTTCCTGCTGTGGGAGCAGCAGATCCCCCCAACACCCTCCCACAAGGGGTGTTCTCTGCTCTGCTGTAGTGGTGGGATGGGGTCATGCTGTGCTGTGGCAGGGGCTCCACAATGCCTTTGAGGTGAAGAAGAACGCAAAAATCAAAAAAACAAGAGATGTTGGCCTTGTCCTTGCTGCAGGTGGAGGAACAGGGCTGTGAGTGGGCTGGAGGAGGCATGAAGCCGTGTGGGATGTGAATGGGCTCTTCTGGCTCAGCGTTCTGAAACCGTTTCTGATTTATTGTGTTTGATTAATTCTTTTTTTTTATTTTAGCTTTCCCCCCTCCTCCCTCTCAGAGCTGGGCAGGGACCCTCTCTGCCACTCAGAGGATGCTTTGCTGTGCTCATCATCTGTGATGAGCCTGACTGAGAACCTAGAATGGGGAGCAGGCTGGAGACAGATCCCTCTGCTTGGCCTTCCTTCCCTCCCTCCTTCCCTCCATCCCACGGGTGTTTTCTTTTTAGACAGAACATTATTAATAACCCCAGGCTATTTTTAAGTCGCACGCCGGAGCGCGTGGTTCGTTTGCGGGTGACGGGGAGCGGTGGCTGTAGTGTAGGAGCGGGGGCAGCTCAGCCTCTGCCCCTGGTCCTTCATCCACTGCTGGCAGCCAAAACCTCACTGGCCCCGGTGAGGAACCCCCATGGTGCTGTCGTGGGGGAGCCCAAGGAAGGGGCTGCTTCCCTGGGGGAGGTTTTGACACCTTTTGGAGGGTTCAGAGCGAGCTCCTGAGCATGTCCATGCTCTGACGTGGAGGCAGCTGCATTCAGCTTCAAACTGGGCTGCTGGTTTTGAGCCTGAAAGACAAAGGGGTGCCCAGGGCCACCCTGGGCTGCGACCTTTCACTGAGGAGGGTCCATCCACAGCAGATGTCCCCGCGTGCCGTGTCTCAGGTGCCTGGTCTCCCCACTGCGAGCAGGGACCACCAGTGCTAATGCTGCTCTTTCCCTCTGCCTGCACAGGTCCCTCCGGACACAGCAGCCCCCTCTTAGCATCATTGCCCATCCCTGGACGGCCCCTTCACCCCCCCTTGGACATCAAGCACTTTCTGACCTTCAGGCTCAACGGGACATCACCGCTCAACCTGTTCCCCAACTTCAACACGGTGAGTCCCTGGAGGTGGGTGGGCATTGGCTGTTGGACCCCTCTTCCCCTGCAGCAGTCCCTCCTTTACGTGGCACTGGTCCTTGAACCGCACCAGGTAGTTTCTGGTTTAATTCCCAGGATCTTTGGCTGCTGGACACCAGTTCAACACTCCTGCCCTGCCCTTAGCTCAGAGCGATTCCTGCCCAGCCAGTGCCTGTCAGTACCAGAATTAAAAACGTGGTTCATTTTAACCAAGATCAATTGGATTTTGCCCCTGGAATCAATAGTAATAAAGTAGCTCTGGAGAGCAGTTCATTAGCTGAAAAATAAATAAGGAAAAGGAAAGAAAGAGAGAGAAGGTGTTACAGATATGAGGAGTGTGGCTGGTGCTGTGGGTGCTGGGGAGTCGGGGTGATAGGGGGACTGCTCCCACCCCAATGTTCTATTAGACAGCTAAACCAACGGTGTGTCAGGTGTGCAATGGTGTTTTCCCCATGCCATGCTGCTTCCCCAGGCTGGTCCCAGCCCTGTGGGGGCCTCTGTCCCCCTGAGTGCTGCCCAGCATTGCTGTGGGGCAGATTCTGCTTCAGGAAGGGCAGTGGGCCCCAGGGCTGCTCCCCTTCTCCCCTGCTGAGGTAGGGCTGGCGTTTCAGGGTTCAGAAAGTGCCCGTGGTTTTCGCTCGTGATCCTGGAAACGGGACTTTCCTGAGCCCCCTCCGTGCTTGCCAGCCTTTTGTGAGTGGCATTGAGCTTAAACCTGCTCGGAAGGTGCAAATTATCGCCGAGATCTTCAAAGGCGGCGCAGGAATTAAGCACAGGATTCCTGTTGCTGTTGAATGGGATTCAGGCGTCTGAGTCCCTTAAGCTCTTTTGAAGCCCCAGCCCAGCCTCTCCCTGG